TAATACTAATTGTAAAGAGGTAGCTCATATTGAACCATCTCACTATCTTTAACATGCCAAATAGTAATGACCTTGGCAGCTGTTTGTCTTATTCTATCATTTTGAAAAGTATAACCTATATTTTTCTTAATTGTATATGCATGAGACCAATCAAAGAAAGAAATATTAATCTTGGTTTTTTCTAGAAAATTTGTAAATTCCTCTTGAATGATTTATTCTTCTTTGTCTTTGTAATTTTGCTAAAACCATTTCCTCTAGGGCTCTCAATCTTGGAGTTTAAGTTTTTATGATAAGATTCTTTATCTATAATAAATTTATGAGATAACATTATAATGATCATTCGTAAAAGAATAGGTGAGAGATAGAACAAATCTTGGATCTTCATCCACTTCTTTATCATAAGTTTCCCTTGGAATAGTATAATTGTTTCTATTCTTTGAAGGTTTATTTTTGACAGAAGATTTTTATAAATTGTAGTGCTAGCAAATGGTTAAGATGCTACTCAGAATGAATAATGTTTGAGCATATATAAAATCAAATATCCTAGAAGCATCAACTCTAGAAGAAAAGGAAATTCTTTAACCAAAAGTTATTTTGAGGTACTTGCCTTAGAAGAGTAGGAGTTTCTCTATCCATTGTCTATTTTGTTAGGAGTGCTATATCTTCTCATCTAATTATTTTTCGAGTAGTAATATTAGCCTCTATCATGTCCATCTCAAACAAGGTTGTTTCCTTAGTGTTTGGTCTTAATAGAATCGTAGAATGACAAGTGTTCATAACCTTGTATTAGATCCTATAAAGGATAACAAGTAGGAAAAAATATTCTTTCATAGATAACCTATACATTTTAATATTTAAAAATAATGAGTTTAATATGTTTCAGTCTAAAAGATTTAAGATTTTGTTTGGATAGCAGTTGAAGTATATTGGTCCATGATTAAGACTAGTTTTCACTGATCCTATTATGGATTTGTCAAATCTATTAAATCTAATATCACTTAGACACATAAGAATGGATGAATTTAAACCTTCATTAATCAAAAGTTTAATTTCTACTTGAACACACCTGTTTGTAGGCAAGTGTACTAGTCAAAAAGTAATAAAAGAGTTTTAAAAGTAAGTTTCTAAAATATGGTCCCACAAAGATTGTTTTTAGTTATCAAGAATTTCTTAATTTAACTATTTAAACTTAAAGGATGCAAAATTAAATAAAACAAAGATTTAAATATAAAATTAATTAAAAAATTACAATAACACAACATCTAACAATAAACTAACTAAGAAGAATATACGGAGTATGATTTTATCTTTACACTTCTCTATATTCACTTTTAGATTAATTCCAATTTTAGTTTCCTTATAATTGCCAATTACTCATATTAAATCTATTAACACCCAATAATCATGCAATGTTAACAATCTTTTCTCTAAACTATCACCTCCAATGGTCATGCAAGGTAAAAGGAAGAGAAAATATAAAAAACCTATAAGCTGTTAATTTAATAAGGATTGAAAGTGAAGAATTAAGTCTGGTAAACCTAATCCTTTGTCTTATTTTATCTTATAGATCTAGTAAGTATATATGGTATGATCGTCTATAATATAATAATCATAGTATGTTCAAGAGTTGTCAATTTTGACATACAAATATAGCACAATAGGATAAACACTAATCAAGAATGGAAACATGAAATTATTATAAATCGTAAAAATTCCATTGACTCATGCAAAGAATCCACTGTAACCCTATGGATTTAGCTAGACCTAATATAAAAGAAAACCAAAACAAATCCATAGTTATTCAAAAAGTAAATGCAAGCTAGAGGTGTCTTTAGTGAAGAAGAGATGAAAAAATCTCTTGATCCTATGATGTACTTCCAAAGCTCAAATAGTTCTCACAAGTAAGCATGATCATGCAAGACCGTAAGCACATTCGTGCATATGGCTCGAAGCACCGCTGTGCTGACTACTTGGATGTAAGCATGCTGGCTGCTGCAAAGTCCTATTTTCTATCTAATTTGGATCCAAAGTATGCTAAAAAATTCAATTATGTCCTTTAATGTTAAACTACACAATTAATATATAATTTAGTGCCAAAACCCAAACAAAATAATGACCATACATAAATATATAGGCTATATAAGCATGTCAAAATACAGACTTATCAACTCCTTTATGCTTGAGATTTACTTGCCTTTAAGTAAAGTCCTAACAAAAAATAATAGAATAACTTGAAATAAATCACACAACAAGGAACTCGAGACAAATGAGATTAAAAGAACAAAAAGAGTAATATCACTGAGAATAAGTAATCAAAAGATTTCCTAATTAAAATCTTATATTCCCTATCTTCTTTCTCAAACATCAAACTAGAGTACTCTACTTTCCTCTCTTTCTAAATGTCTAAGGACAAAAGGAAATATCCACTGAATTTCTCCAAACAGAAGTATGCTACCATAGACTTAACCATAAAACAACTCTCTACTAAATAAATTGAATGCAAGTAAAAATTTTGAGGTCTTTTAAAGTTGTAATGTGGCCAAAGAGTTATAATAATTCAGGTGAGATAAATGAATTAAATGGATATACAAAGGAGTAATAAATCATAAAAATTACAAACATCCTCCAAGTTTATAAATGAAACTCTTGGAGTAATTTTTTATATTTCACATTCAATCAATTTCTTTACTCTTCTTTTCTTTCTTCATTTGTAACCCTTTTTTTTCTCTTCTTTTTGCTATTTTTCATTCTCTTTTATATTTGCACATATTTTCTTTCTTTTTTCACGTAAGAGTCGTAGAGGAAAAAATAACAAACAATTTAGTAATCCAATTGCTCTATTCATAAACTCAATGTCATCAAAAAAATATTTTAAATAATTTAAATGTAAGGTACCAAAAGAATATTAATAAAATAAAACAAACAGAAGACGAGGAGCGACCTTATTACTCGAAAATGTTAAAAGACATGAATAAAAATAAACTATTTTTTGAAAGATTTTAAAATGACACAATTTTGTGTCCAAAATGAACTGCCATGTGTCATTTAATGTGACAAATCATCAATTCTGTTACTTAATTTTAATGTCTCTTAATGGTAAGGACTAATGTGATTGACGATTATTAATTTTAGGGACTAAAATTTCAAATTTTAAATATTGAGGACTACCTTTAATCAAGTTACATATTTCAAGGACTAAAGTGGGGGTTTACTCGAAAATTTAAGCTCTAAATGTGGGGGTTTATCAATTGGTGGTTTAAGCACTTTAGATTGCTCGTTCCTTGGCCTTCTTAGAGTTTCATACTTTACAAAATTTAAAGGAGGAGAAGCAGTATCCATAGTGTTGGCAAAGTTACAGGACTCTTGGCTAGAAGGGTATTTTAAAGAATTAAAAACTTGAAAAATGTCTTTCTCATCATCATCTAGCCTTAAGGTGAGCTTTCTATCCTAGACATCTATGATGGCCTTGGCAGTAGCCAAGAAGGGTCTGCCTAGGATGATGGGGACATCATCATCCTCTTCTATGTCAAACACCACAAAATCAACAGGAAATATGAACTTTTCAACCTTCACAAGTAGCTGAAGTAACATGTAGACTGGTTTAGGTTTATGCATCCCAAGCTTCCTGAATACAAAAAAAAGCATAAGATTAATACTGGCTCCTAAATCACATAAGGCTTTATCAATATGATTTTTTCTAATGATGCAAGGGATAGTAAAACTCCCTAAGTCCTTAAGCTTAGGTGGAAACGTTTTAAGAACTATAGTTGAACACTCATTAGTTAAATTTACAACTTCACGCTTGTTTAGTCTCTTTTTGTTGCTTATGATTTTTTCAAAAATTTGGCATACTTTCACATTTCAAATATCGCATCAACAAAAGGAAGGTTGATGTATACTCTGACCAAAATATCGAAGAACTTATCAAACTCTGTGTCATAAAGGGGTTAGCCTTGTAATCGTTAATGGAAAAGGTATTCTAGACGCATAGAGCCTTGGTTGCACAAAAGGTTCTTCTTTCTCTTTTTTAAGATTTGTGCTTGAAGCATGGCCTTGCATGTTTGGGTGCACGGTTGTGCTTATTACATTGTCATAGGCATGCTTATTTAAGCATGATCATGCTTCTTCAGGAGCAGGGGCGTGCTGAGTAGGATGAAAAGGCGTGCTTGGTGATGCATGGGCATGCTTATCACTAAGCACGAGCATGCTCACCTTCTTGTTCTGTGTTTTTTTAAGGTTTTTTCATTCCGGAGGGTGATGACATTGGATTGTTCCCTTGGATTAAGTTTGAGCTAAGTTGGTAATGTTCCCAACATTTTTTACCTTAGAACTTAGTGATTTGCTCCAATTGTGATTCAATACTTGAAGACCATGCTCTCATCTCTAATTTTATCTATGCAAACTTTTTATCATCCCTTTCAATATATTGCTCCAACTTAGATTCAAGTTCTATCATTTTCCTATTAGAATAATGCACATATTGTATCATTGTCTCTTGAAAGTTAGATTGGGGTCCAGGGGTCTCCTTGATTTTGTATATGGGAAAGGCGAAAAACATTTAAATTTTGGCTTCCAAAGTCATTCCCCAAGAGTTAAAAGAGTTGCTTCTCCATCTTGAGTTGTAATTATTGACCAAAAGATTAGCTTCCTTTTTTATTTTAGTAACTGAACAATTATTGTTATCATGGCCTAAGGAGTCGCAATGAAGCTTCAAGTGGTTCTGTTGATTATCCCTGTACTCTCATTAAAGATTCCACTTGCTTAGTTAGAGCTTCTAATTGAGTTGTTAATGGATTGTAGCTATTAAAGCAGTCTCATTCTTTCTACTCATGAAAGGGTTAGCTTTTGCCATTAAAAACTAGCATATGCATCTCAACTACCAATTTATATGCCTCATTTGGTTCTTTTCTCATTAGGCCTCCTCTAGCTGCTGCATCAATTATGATCCTATTGGAGATTGATAACCACTATTAAAGATTTCCATTTGTCTCCACACAAAAAAATTATGGTGAGAGCACCTCCTCGAAAGTTCTCCAAATCGTTCCCATGGTTCAAATAGGAATTATGACTTATATTGCTGAAAATTAAAAATTTCATCTAAGTTTAGCAAATTTATCTTCGCTTAAGCAAATTTTTCATCTTTGCTAGCCAGCTTCCACCGACATCCATTCCTCTTTTCTCCATCCTGATGGAATACCCAAAAATTGCGTAGAACTGCAACAGTTCTTCACGTTGTGACAATGCCCAAACTCTAATGGGAACAAATTAACAAATCTAGTATTATAATGGAAAACCCACTTAGGATTGATCAAATAACACATACATATCATATCAAATGAATTAAAATCTGAGTATGAATTAAGAGTACTCCTAACAAAAAGTGAATGGAAAAATGATAAGATGACTCATCGCTGCAAATGTTGCCTAGACTTTCCTTTGAGTTGAGGTTCTAGTAGCCGTATGATGATGAATCTTCGGGGTTCCAACACCACTTTCTATCTTATTCAAAATTTATATATATAAAAAAGGATGTTTTAGAATTTGAAGATGCGATTATAAGAGAGTGTGGAGTGTCACAAAAATTAGAGAACATATTGACTAGCACGTGTACTAGGTAGTTATAGCAAGTAATAAATTTGGAAATCAATATGAGTCCCAAGTATCATCCTCAGGGATTAGTTCCATCAATTACCACTTCACAAATCAATAACTAGTTGAGCCAAACGAATTTGGAGTGTTTTGAATCATTTAACAAACAAAAATAATAAAGTGCAGAAATCTAAAAAATACAGCACAATAGAACTACAGATTTTGTATTAAAATGCTATATGGAAAATAGTTCGGAATCACTTCACCAGATTTTCTATTGCAGTGTAATAATGTTCTAAACTCTTAAGAATTCTAATTGATTGATAATCAATTTCACTTATTTAACCAAAGGACAATTCATTGCCTCATTGATCCTAACACCTAATTAAACCTCCCTAATTCCTTAGGTGAAATTTAATCAAATATTGCATTAGGTTCTAAAAATTATAGGATTACTAGATTATGATGACTTATTCCTAAGGCCTCAATAACCTAGGTATATGATTTAGATATAAGAAATAAACTCAATTTTCATTGATGAAGATTCCTCTAACTTCAATTGAATGAATGATTAGTTCACAATTGCATTAAGAACATAATCACATACTCAATACAATTAAAACCTCAAGGTCCATATCCAAAATTACATCACAATATCAAATTTAGATCCATAGATCCCTGACAAAAAGAAGTCAGAACATGTTCCTAAAAGAAAAAGAGAGAGGGAAAGAGTAGAAGAAGAGGAGCTGCAAAATTTCTTCATCAATCCAATCCCAAGCCTGATTCCTCAAAGTGTAGAGCTTAGAAGTCGCCCCCAATCTCCCTCTCTAACTCTCCTAAGGTGTAGAAATGAAAATAAAACAAAAAATGACAAAAGACTTCCAAATCTGAACTCTTAACAACTATTTATATTTTTTCCCATCACTTTCCATGTTGACACTTTAATCACTGAGAGTAATAATGTGGAAAGCCTTCCAGAAGCTTCTAAGATTGAGATAGGAACTCCCAAATGTCCAAAGTTGACACATAAAAGTGATTTTCAAAATTCTATTATTTTGTGTGGACATTTTTAGTAGTTGTACAATTTAAGGCTGCTTGTAATTGCACCGAAAGATTGAATTGAACAAAAGTATTATTAATTGAGCAACAAATGATAAGCACAACAAGATTGACCATAAATTCATAAATTAATCACAAGGTTCTACTTTGGATTTGTCATAACCTTAATTAAAGTTTAGTTACACATTATATGAGTGAAATAAAAAACCAAATCCCTCAATAGAAACATAGTATAGAAAAAAGTTAGGAAGAAGAATGGTAAATTTTGGTCATTCAATGTTTTTGTTGATCATCTTCAATTCAAAAATGTAAAACACCAACTAATCCTATATAACTGCTTAAAAAATATTTTGAGATGGAAGATAGAAAAAATCTAAGAAAAATACTTTCTTAAAAGAAAGCATTTTTAGTGACTTATCTAAGTCTCCTATTTATAGAAACTAATTGGGTCTGACCCATTTAAAAATTTAAATCAATGCATTAATTTCAACGTAGCTAAACAAATTCATCTTAATGACATAGACATTCACCTTTTTTTTTAACTTCATATTTGTTCAGATAAAGTAGAGATTAAAAAGCAGTTTCACTACAATAAATGTATCATTTAGCGTTAGTTTATTAGCGACAATTAGCAATAATGGCTACTAAAATATTTTAAAAAAATATTTGACATCTATTTTAGTAATTGCCACAAAAAATGCGAGATTTAGCGGCAGTTTTATGTAACCGCCACAGAAAATGCAAAATTTAGTGGTGGTTTTGCATAACTGCTGCAAAAAAATGCGGGATTTAGTGGCGGTTTTGTGTAACTGCCATAAAAAAAACACGAGATTTAGCGTCAGTTTAAGATAACAGAATATAAGAAACATCACTCCTCTCCCATTCTCCGTCACCCACTTAAAGCTATCATTCATAATCACTTTAGCCTCATTAAGTTCCACCATCCGCTCTGCCTTTGCCACCACTGCTACCACCGTCAAAGTGTCTTCTCCAACTGTGACAACCTCAGTAATCTTCTACTATTCTTTTCACTTTCTCCAAAAATAGTTCTTCTCCAATGACTCTACACTATAAATGATATATAATATATATTGTGATATTAAAAAATAAATGGAATGTGAACCCAAATAACAAAAGAAAGAACTGAATATAAGATAAGAACAGAAAAAAGTGTGGAAGCAAAAAAACAGAATACTGCAAAGTCGAAAACAAAGCACAATTGCGTGCAATCTGAAATTTGAATTTCAAATTTTAGTGGCAGTTTTGAACCACCGCTAAATAACCGCCATAAATTTAAAAATTTAGTGACGATTCAAAACTGTCACAAATTTAGTTTTATGTTACCAATTTTAACGTCAATTTTCTAACCGCTGGAAAAATATTTAGAAGCGATTAAAATTGTCGTTAATCATAAAATTTAACTACCACAAAAGAGCAAATTTTTGTGGTGTTTAATATTAACCCCTCTTTAAATATCTTATTAAAAAAATAATTTTTATTAACTACTCTTTAAGTTCTTGCTCCATAAACTCCTCTTTAGCATAGTGATTTTTTCCATTCTTTTGAGTTATTTTTCCTTTATTTTTCTTTCTTGAGTCCCGTTCTTCATTTTGAAAAAAAATAAAAAATAAACATAGAATGAATACTTGTATCATTAAAATGTTATGAAATTAATAATAAATTTCCTTAAATAAAATGTTAGAATGGTGGTTTATCAATTATCAAATAGACCAAGCCTTGAAGAACTGACACAAGTTAGACTATCTAAAATAAGTTTGAGAAATAATGTAAATCATCATCGATGAGAAAATAAAGTGTAATATAAAAAGGATGGGTTTACATGCATATAGTAAGTATATAAGTTTAAGAAAAATGTTAAGCGTAATACTATAAATGTTTTTGTTGTTATTTTTAGTTAAAATTAAAAGTTTAATTTGAGTATAGTGTGCTTATTATTAATAATATCAAAAGCACTAATAGTTAAAATTAATCTTAAACTCTCAATTGAACAAAATTCAAAATTTCATTATATGAAAGATAATGCTAATCCAAAATCTAACTTTGGGTTGAGCCCTAACCAGTTTATATAAAGCAAAATCTTATTAGTAATTAAAATAGTATAAAAGAGTCATTATTAGTTTATATAATCTTATTTTGAAAAAATTTGACATAGATAATTCAATGATTGGATCAAAGAAAATTATATTTTATATTCATTATTAACAGTATAATAATAAGTGTAAATTATACTGGCATAATTTGATCCCTCCTACTATGTACGTATAGATAGATGTAAGTAATTGCAACATGAACTACAATTATACCTGTTGATGAACATTGATTTTGTCTAAGGTAGATCTCATCTTGATCATCGTCACTATCAACTGCTCCAAAGGAAGATCTTGTCTCCAAGCTCAAACGTCTAGGGATACATACATTATGATAGTAATTTACCAAGCACTCCATGGATTTGGATGGAAAGTGCTCCATGGCAAGTTTCCAAAAGTTTTTGCCATTTGATAGCGGATTTAATTTTGCTAGGGTTTCAAATTCCCTTTGCTCTTCCAATGTCCATGACTTTGAAACATCTTCTCCCATCTCGTCAAATTTCCAACTTGAAAAATTTGTGCCAATCTCCAATTTCAAGAGTTCTCTTGCTTCACTAACATGTAGTTTAACACAATTAACTGATCCTGGAAATTTACAGGAGCATGAGTCACGCCTACCTTCTCCGATACCTTTTGTATTGATATTGGTAATATTAGGCATTGGCCAAAGTTGGGTGCCCAACCACTTTAAATCATCGTCACTATTATGATGTCTCACATTGGTTTTGCCTTCCCACTTTGGAACATGAGCTTGAAAACATGGTCCAATGGGAATAACTGGCCTCGGAATATCGTTATCCTCGGAAAATAAATAGTTCTTTTGTGGCTGATTGATTTCCATGTCTTCAGTTTTTGAGGTTAATGAGTATGAAGTCTCACTTGAGTTGTGAGAATCTTCCAAAAATTCCATTGTTGGTTTTTCCTTGATTGATGCCTCGGTACTATAAGTATAATCACTACTAGTCGCTAAATCCTTGCTACGATTATTCGAGAGTCCTTGTTTCATTGCATCTGGCCCTTCAATATACTCCTCAAAGTCACTTAGGTAAGAATAGTCCTGCCTACAAACGCTGCAATATTCTACTGTATCATTTATCATGGAATTTGAACCATATTTCTCTCTAGTGATAAGTGCATGAGTTGTACCGAACTTATCACTATTCATATACTCGATAAATTTCCTCTTCTTCTAGGGAAAGAAAAACAGACGGTTTCAGAAGTATTAGATATACAAAAGGACACAACTTAGGGTACACCGTTACATGTGTTTTGGTATTATTTTTCAATCAGAATTAAACACTATGTCAGAAATAAGATTTGAGAACGATTTCACATCACATTAAACTACG